TGAATAATATCGATAACGACTGTAAATCAATATATCTCCATGAACCATTTCTGTAATTCTTCGACAGGAACGAGTCTCCAGGAACCGTTAAAACTGGAAGCATCATAAAGAAGCGCTATTCCGAACACAAGTTTCTTCATCATGTGAGACACGTTTTGTGTTTGTTTAAAAGAAAATAAAAGGAAATTGTTTTTGTTTTTTTCACTTTTTGAATTTTGCGCACTATTTCTTGTGACGTATTGATTTTATCATCGCTCTTCAGTTTGCAGTAAGCAGGTTTTGTCGTTGAGGCTCGCGCTGTGCAGACCCGCCGGAGTTAATTAGCTGCTCCGCCGACGCGCCTAAAGCAGAAGACAAGACCGGATTTTTAAACTACAAAAAATTCTGACACCATTTTGCAAGCCCATCGCTCTTATAATTAATGTACAGACGACTATTTTCTTTTAAACCGGCCATTTTAAATTCACGCGTACAAACGAAAGCTAAAGAATTTACTTTACAAATTGAACAAGACAGCTTTATGCTTTCATTTCTCTATATTAGCTGCGTTTGAATAGACCTTCAAACGCACCAGTGATCGATTATATATATTTGGTTGGATTGATGTGAGTTTGTGACCTTGGCTTTCACACTTTTGCGATCGTCAGACAATCTCTTAGCTCTATCTCTGATATTAAGCGCTTTCTAATAAGTACCGCACATATAATATATAAATAATTATACATATATATATATATATATATATATATATATATATATATATATATATATATAAAGAGAAAGAGACTCGAACTCAGACATCGGAGAGCCGAGTTCGAATTCCAGTCGAGTTCCTTATATTCATTTAAGTGCAAATAGCGTTGGAAAAGGTAAGAATCTCGTCTCCCCTCCCCCATATATGACAAAATGGCAGGACACACTGGATCCTAAAGCCTTGGGTAGCAACAGCTCCAGAAGGACAACCATAATTTCAAAAAAGTGTGGCTGGTTCTGCAGAACCCTATTCAAATTACTGTGTGGCGGTTCGGTTCTAAGCTCGGCTACTGTACCTTCATATATATATATATATATATATATATATATATATATATATATATATATATATATATATATATATATATATATATAAGTGAACATTGAAGTCAACACTATCTCATGAAACAGCCTGTCACCTCTGAGTGTTGACTTCAGTGTTCACTTATATTCATATTTACATACTCTGTATCTCTGATATTGAGCAATTTATGCCATAAATATTGCACACCTTAAAACTATATATATATATATGTGTGTGTGTGTGTGTGTGTGTGTGTGTGTGTGTGTGTGTGTGTGCGCGTGTGTGTGTGTGTGTGTGAAAAGTGTATAGAAAAAGTGTATATAAATATAAATAAATATATTATATATATAATTATTTATATATTATATGCGCGGTACTTATGAGAAAGCGCTCAATATCAGAGATAGAGCTAACGTATTTGGTTGGATAGATGAGAGTTTGTGACCCTGGGTGTCACGCTTTAGCGATCGTCAGTTAAAGCGCTGGTTAAATATCCTAGTGGATTAAAGTGTTGATAAATATTCTAGTAAATTAAATCTTTGGTTAAATATCTGTTGTAGATTAGTTTCACAGTGGAGGCTTGTATTTCACTAAGTCGGTCCTAAAATAGGTTCGACGTACAAAACATTAGGAACTTGATATAATAGGTAATGACGCAGAGAAATCTAGTGGTGGTTGCTGATACTTTTAGTATCCGACTAACAGTCGTCCGACATCGACTGACTAACCAACTTCCCGAGCGACTCAGCGACTGCTACTACTCCTACTTATTATAGGTGGGAGAGTCTATTAACTATAGAATAGATGTGTTCCACTATAACAATATCCCAATGGGTTAAAGTGCTGGTTAAATATCCTAGTGGATTAAAGTGTTGATAAATATTCTAGTAGATTAAATCTTTGGTTAAATATCCCAATGGGTTAAAGCGCTGGTTAAATATCCTAGTGGATTAAAGTGTTGATAAATATTCTAGTAGATTAAATCTTTGGTTAAATAAACCAATGGGTTAAAGCGCTGGTTAAATATCCTAGTGAATTGGACTCAGTATGAATAGGACGATCTGTCGCTGAGCAGTACTAAAAATAAAAATAAAAACTAGATGAGATATTCCGAGACATGGACAGATTAGATAAAGGGTTTAGTTCAGTATTCGCTGGACGTTACCCGAATCGACATGCCCGGATTAATGGAGGCTGGATGTCACTATGGCCAAAACGTTATAATAACAACAACAAAGATGAGGACAATAGTGTAAATAAAGTACCCTTATATTTTATTTACTTATATGTTTACGATTATTTGCAATGACATTTTCTTATTTATCAGTACCTTTTGCGTAAAATTCCGCAGGTTTTGGTATGAAACATTTTGGGGGAGATGTCTTAAATCTGGTTTTCATTAGAGAAAGTTTTCCCCCATCGAAATTGATTTTTAAAAAAAATAAAGTAAATACACAAGATCTGTCACATTTTGATAACATTAATGTTACAACAAAGGCCTAACTATTGTATAGATTATATACTTTTTGTATTTTTTCCGCTTGAAAACAGGGGCGATCTTTCCTGTTGTAAGTTTTTTTTTTTGTTTCATATTCCTCTGTTTAAATAAAGTTCGAACACTTTTGCTCCAAAGTTTGTTTTGATTTTAATTTTCTTGTTTTTTTTTTATAAAGTTCTCTCTCTTCTTTCTTCGTGAAAGAGATTTTTTTCCTAGTTTATTCGTATGTAGAAAGTCATATCAAACAGAAAAGCATAATAGATTAATTAACACCTTAAAATGTATTGCCAGTTATGTCTAGTTAGCAGCTTTCGCCGATAATTCGAAAATAAGTTTTGAAACGGAAATTAGGAGAAAGGTCAAGCAATGGCTGAACATCCGGGTCATTTCTCTTCTTTTATATCGTGAAAGATTAAATATTAAATATATGCAATGGATATGGTACAACCTTAAAAAAATTCACGTAAGGATGGCTGTACCACTGGTTGATTTTTCAGCCACCCAATTCGATAACGAATGTGACACAAGGTCCATGTCTAAAGTGAATTTACCGGCGATACTGTGGAAAAATTGTTCAAGCCCCTTTTGCCAATGATCCCAAAGAAGAGGTACTGACTGGGGTGATGGACTCAACGAGGTTTCAGCTTTTATTAATTTCAACTTTCCGCGTTAAAATCTAGGAAAATTTGATTTCGCCATACTAAAGGTCGTATTATGCTCAGGGATGTAATTTATTCCTTGTTTTTAGCTTCATAAACACAAGTCGTATTTTACACAAGATAATGCGGTATGGTATTTTAGTGCATTTCGAATGCATTCATTACTGCCAGATATGATAATATTCGTAATTACAACTGGTTTTCCAAAACGGAAATTAGTTATGACTCAATAGTTCCACTGGAAGATCAACATACATCGAGTGTATAATTACACCATTGGATAAAACAAGTTGACAGCTAAAAAACACATTGTCTATGCATTTTTAGGCGCTTTTCATTTGGTTGATTAATAGCCGTGCAAGGCGACTACTAAAACACAACCATCGCCCAACTGTGCCCACATCCATTGTTTGGTCTCTGTAAACGTTCATCAAACGTCGATAAATGTCAGTAGGTGAAATTTTTTATCCAGAGAACAATCCATAGACACACTTGTTTTTTTTTTTTTTTTTTTTTTTTTTTTTTTGTATACCCTTCTATATCAGAAGCCAATTTTCTAGACTACTGCTCAATTGCTACCTGTAACATAGTGGAAACGTTTATGGTTTGCTTTGGTTTGTTTTACGGCATATCAACCGCAATGGGTTATTTAATGCCGACAACATTTTAAGGATAAATTCATATGAACAGAATATGTATTCTTTGGTTTAGGTTGGTTTCGTTTATTTTGTCCCACGGCACACCAAACCCAATGGGATACTCAATGCCGACAAAATTCTTTATTGCTGGTAATATTTCGTTTTTTCAAAAGTCTGTTTCTGGTAATATTTTTCCTTCAAAATTGTATTATAGTTAAGTATTTGCCGATAACTGGGACCCTACTACCACCCCGGGTAAGGGTGGACCTGGTGACACCAGCAATTAAGAGGAGGTTCCACGCTCCTCAAAACCTCCTGATCAGAGGCCTTGCAACTGAACATAGTTTATCGTCTTGTTCAGGACGTGGATGTAGTTTAATGTCTTACCCAGGGCCAGGAAACGTGTATAGATTATTGGTGGAAACATCAACGTCGTGGGAGAACATAATAATTTGGAAAGCATTCATTTCGGAAAACACTCGTAGTCGTAGTTTGATAAACGCGTTAAACACGGGCATTTTGTTGATTTCACCAACCGTTGATTTGTGAAACTGCAGTTCGGGGAGAGTCCAAGAATGTTGGGACCCCACTGCATATACAGAGTTTCCATAAAGTTCGTGTGCACTTTAAAAAATTTATAACTTTATTTGTAATTGCGATAGAAATAATTTGTAAAAAGGATTAGAAAGAAGTAAATCTATATTTTTTAAGGTTTTATTGAAATTTTATTTAAGTTTCCACATGTCCTCCATCATTAGCAATACAAAGGGTAATACGATTTTGCTGTTCACGGAAAACATTTGCCAACTGATTTACAGTAATGCCTGAAATCACATTAGTTATTTTAACTATACTTAAAACTAGGTACATTAAACTTTATAACAGTTTTTACAGATTATTTCTATCGCAAATACAAATAAAGTTATAAATTTTTAAAGTGCACACGAACTTTATGGACACCCTGTATAGGTAAAAAAAAAAGTAATGGTTGTTGTTGTTTATTACAATAGATTTATTACTAGAAGCACGCAAATTATACCAAACATGAACACAAACGCATCAGTTTGCCAAAACAAATCCTGAATGCAATCTCTTTCCTTCTCAACTGTGTTACTCCGAGTCGTTACACCACCCGCACATCGTCGCTTGAAGCACCTGATATTCTCAAGCGGTCACCCATCTAGGTACCGACCAGGCCAAACGTTGCTTAACTTCGGTGCTCGGACGAGAACCGGTGTTTCAATGTGTTATGGCCGTAGGTCACAGGACACAAATGTCACAGGATTGCACATCTAGTCTTCAACACAGTTTTCTTCTTTCTAAACCTTGATATGAATTTCGGTTTAAAAATAACTTTTCAACTGACACTCGTCTAACGAGATTACAAATGTCGTTAACACTTTCTTTCCGTTTCAGTCGTGGTATTCCAGCTTTGCATGAAGGGCAGATGGGTCGGCCTTCTAGAAGGTTCTCGGCTGCTTTCTTATACACACGTGCTAACTCATTATCAGAGAACTGCTGTCGCTTATTTAGCTATTTCTGGCTGGGTGAACAGCAGTCACTTTACTATAGTTGGCTTTCTTAATCATTTCAAGCAAAGCGATAAAGCCACAAGAGCGCTTTGAGGCCGTTTCACTTAAAACGTTGAAGATAATAGTTATCAAGAGTTGTACAGTACGAGAAAAGAAACTGTTAGAGTAGAAATGGTGGTCACATCTAGCTAGTTCAACAGCAAAACGGTGAGACCTAATTACCAATCGAGTAGCACAGTTAAATTCATGTAGTCGGTAATTTTACAAATGAGGATCGCTTCATTCAGTGGATTATAAAGTTAATGCTTATATTAAGTCTGTTATGGATATGGATACTAATCAAATTGTCGTTGAATATGAGAGGATCATATTAAAAATGAGTATATATAATATTTTTATTATAATAAATTACAATAAAAAAATATTTTACATCGCTACCCCAAAAAGTTTATGTTTCAGTACTAAGATGGTGCTTCTTCTGGCCATGGTAGATAACTTGGGATAAAAATGATTTATCATGTCAATTTAAAAACAAATCTTTTACCTATTTTTGTAAATTAAAGGGGGTCATAAGGTTTACGAAAAGAGGTAAAGATTTAGACAAAACATGTCTAAATTAGTCAGCGAAGCATGTCTCATTGAAAACATGCTTCCAAATTATTCGCATATCTATATATATATACACACACACATTTGACAACAATTTTATGCATAAGGATCGCGTCATTCAGTTGATTGTTAGTAAGTTAATGCTTATATTAAGTCTGTTAGCGAAGAGAATTCTCCATTAATTACATTCATTCATTGTATGATTATCATTTATTGTATATATTATATATGTGTGTGTGTGTGTGTGTGTGTGTGTGTGTGTGTGTGTGTGTGTGTGTGTGTGTGTGTGTGTGCGTGTATTAAAGAAAAACAGACCATTTTAAGGCTCCATTGTAATAGTTTATTTCACCAGAGTCCTTTTAAATTACCCTGGATCATCAGACATCACTTCTAAAAGGTGAAATGAAAATTTACACTTTTGACGGGTAGTATTAAGTTTATGTAATTTAACAGAGAGGGTAGTGAGGAGTGGTGTGAGAGACATGGTCGAGTTTAGAGAGGGTTTACTTTAATATTTCTTTCAATCATACTTAGTATTGAGGAAGGAGGGACCAGACATTGACCTATTTAATCGGTTAACTTAACGGAAATGTTATGTTGAAAGGGAAAGAGAGAAGAGATAAAAAGAAAAAGAAAAAAGAAAGAAGGGGGAAGTAAAGAGAAAGAAGATGTATTTAGGGTTTACGGAGGAAGAAGAGGGGTGGTATAGTTTTAGCAATTGAAGTAAAAAAACAGATTTTAATGTTTGATAGTAATTTAAATGTTTAAAAAAATCCACGAAGAAATTAATTTAATGCTAGTTAGTATTTTAAATATTTAACTCTTACAAATAATTTAGGGATTTAATATGAGTTAAATACTATATTTAAAAATACATTAATAAAAAACTCATTAAAAAATATTTAAAATATAAAAGTTTACTGATAGTAATCTTTTAATATTGTAAACGACTGTTAAGGTAACATCTTTATCAGTTTGAGTCTAATTCATGAAAGTAATTTGTAACTATTTTTAGATGGGTAATAATCTTTCTTACTCAAAGTTTACGTTTCAAATTAAGAATATTTGAAGAATATATATATATATATATATATATATATATATATATATATATATATATATATATATATAAATATAAAATACATAATGTATTTCGGTTTTATAAACCATTTTCAAGACAAAATTCATTAAAATACAAATTCAGTTCAATATGACGAAAATGGACATAAAACTGACGACAATTCTTTCAAAACATTTATGGATTTTTGTTTGTTTTTCAAAATTTCTACTGGCATATATACAGAAATGTACAAAATGGATTCTGACGCGAAAAATTGTCTGGCAAGACAGTAAACCAACTTTCCTAGTAGTCGACGTAGCAATTGATTCAATATAATCTTTTAATTTTGTCAGGTAAAAATGTGTGTCCAAAAGCCATAGAGTTTTGCTCACCTTGAGTTTAACGTCAGCCATGCTGATGTCAGGCAAAAAATTGGCTTTGTGTTGATTAAAAATGTAGGTAATTTTGTTTTGGAGGCATTAAACTCTTGGTTAAAACGTGTGTAGTTTATTAGAACGACCATTGTCTTTCATGAAAGTTCGATCGCTTTCAATGTGTCAGTATGATAAATAAAACATGACACAGTCATTATTACAAATGGCAAATTTCAGGCGTCCGTGCATGAAACCAGTTCACGCGAGATCATTTTTTCAGTGTCCATCTTTATACGTACAGTGACAAATACATAAACATTTTCTGCAATGCTAAAATCCTGCTCGTCTCAAAAATCGAAGATATAAAAAAACCGTGGCAATATTTTCGTTTACAACGACGCAGTGCAATACTTAACACGGCTAGTCTGGTAGACCATTAATATTGAGTGATGAGTTCGATCCTTAGTGCGTCCTGGGTAAGACGATAAACTACGTCCGCATCCTGGGTAAGACGAGAAACTACAGCCGACAGCAAGACCTCTGATCGGGAGGTTTTGAGGAGCGTGGAACCACTTCTTAATTAATGGTGTTCCCAGGTCCACCCTGACCAGGGGTGGCAGCATCTGTTAGGGTCCCAACTATGGCCAAATAGTTAACCCCCCCCAAGGGGTCAAAACACTATGAAATTGTAAAAATAGGTTTTAATACCATGAATACATTTTTGTAAAAATGATTACCAGCAATGAATTTTTGAAGAAAATAATTATTACCATCAATCCATTTTTGGAAAAAATATTACCAGCAATAAAAATCTTGTCGCTATTAAATAAAATAAGGTCAATATGCCGTAAAATAAACCAAACCAAATCAACCAGTAAATCGTTAATGGATGTCATCCATTGTTCGTCTTTACCTAAAGAATCAGTCATGCGTATCTGTCTATATTTCTGAGATGAGGTATTATGTACATTATTTGCATTATTCGGACTATTGTCCTCATCTTTGTTGCCATATTTATTTCAAAGTTTCGGCCTTTTTCAAGGACACATGATAAAGACGTTGGTTAGATCAAGTGACAGGACCCAAAGAGTGTGAGTTCAATACCCGGTTAAGGCAGTGGAGAACTTTCAGAGGGATATCAACAGGAGATAACTGATAATTGACATCCATTAAACATGGCACGTGGAACTAGAACAGTCTACCACAGTGAGCGTAATAAAGGGTTAAGTTCGACATTCCAACCACTTGAAGAAGACCGGAGCGCACAACGACAGAAACGTTGTAATAAATATGGCGACAAAGATGAGGAAAATAGTCCGAATAATGTAAATAATGAATCAGACATGCATTCAATAAAAAGTTGCTAACGAAAGCGACTGCCTTAAATATCTTAAGATGTGATGTAGGGGTTGTTACACAAATTCTTCATTTATGGAATCTCTAGAAGAGTTCTTGTAAGAATATTTCTGTCAGGTAGCTCATTGAAGCTCGTTCTCAATAGCCAGGATTCGGAATCCCAATAGATCAAAGCAGGCATACCACAAGCTCATTCATTCGCTATGCCATCTTTCTGATTTATATTAACTCTCTGCCTAAAAACAGTCTAGGACCGTGAATAAATATCTATACTGATGACCCGACAGTGCATGAGTACACATCCAAAAATCCGGACATCTGATCTATTACCTGATCTAGCTCATACACCTTTCGTTAGAAGGTTGTTCCATACGGGCAACTTCTTCCTAAGATCAGCTTCTTTGTGAAACAAGACTCCCAAGGTGATGCTTCCTCGATCACTACAATCTGAACCTGTTCTGGTCAAATGCAAGCTCAACCGTTTTCTGTCCTACTTATTTTCATATTCAAAAATTCTTAGATCCAGAAAACCATGTCCCCCGGGTTTTTAGAAATCTATAACTAAAGGTTTTTTTTTTTTAATATATGGTTTTGTGAAAAGTGTGACAAAATGGAAGCAACTTTTGTGTCACGAGTTTCGTCTCTTAGGACTTTATCGGGTTAAAATATTTGTTGATGCGACTACGCATGCGCACGAACGAGAGACGCTAGAAATTTTACATTTCATTTTTTCTTAAACCAGAACTTTGTCCGATAAAGTTCTAAATGACGAAATGCGTGATTCGAAAACTTTTCCCACATTGTTATACTTCTTCCGGTTAAAACTTTTCTTGATATATAAAAAAAAATACACCTGGAAAAGGCATGGCACGTGGAACTAGAACAATATACCCCGGTGGACTAAATAAATGGTTCGGTTCGAAATTTCAATCACCTAAAGAAAGCCGGAACGTACAACGACCGAAACGTTATGAATATGGCAATGGAGATGAGGATAACAGTCCAAATGATGTTAATAATGCAAGTAATCATAATACCTCATCTCGGGATATAGACAGATATATAGAGAGATATAGACATAAAGGTCGGAGCGTATAATGGCCGAAACGTTGTGAATATGGCAATGAGGATGAGGATAACAGTCCGAATAATGTGAATAACGCAATTAATCATAATACCTCATCTCGGGATATAGACAGATATATAGAGAGATATAGACATAAAGGCCGGAGCGTACAACGGCCGAAATGTTGTTAATATGGCAATGAAAATGAGGATAACAGGCCGAATAATGTGAATAATGCAATTAATCATAATACCTCATCTCGGGATATAGACAGATATATAGAGAGATGTAGACATAAAGGCCGGAGCGTACAACGGCCGAAACGTTGTGAATATGGCAATGAAGATGAGGATAACAGTCCGAATAATGTGAATAACGCAATTAATCATAATACCTCATCTCAGGATATAGACAGATATATAGAGAGACGTAGACATAAAGGCCGGAGCGTACAACGGCCGAAATGTTGTTAATATGGCAATGAAAATGAGGATAACAGGCCGAATAATGTAAATAATGCAAGTAATCATAATACCTCATCTCAGAGACATAGACATATATTAAAAAAATACCTGTATATATATCATTATTCCATTTAAATCTTTAAAATCAATACTGGCTTTTTCGGTGGTCACTATTAGGTTAAAACTGATTGGCTACAATTTCGATTTTTAGTCGGCGTCTAAGTCGCCATCCAATACAGTTCGTAAATCTTTGATTCTCATGTCCGTTACTGTACCCGTTGGGTTATTTGTTCCTCAGCCTCGTTTTGAGAAGAAGTCGATATAGAATTACAAGTTGCGTGCGGTGCGCGTATACTTAAAAAAATTGTAGAGATGATTCAATAAGTTTGCTTTTTTTTTAATCAGAGATCAAGACAATGGAGTAAATTTAAGGAAGCCCTACCGTGCACATAAAAAAAACAAGGCTTATTGAATTGTCTCTATTCGTGGATTCGACCATGAGAGAAACAAATGAAATAAAACGTCATAATACTAAATAAAACTAAGCGAGAGACATCGGTCTATTATGACATAGTGAAATGCAATACGCGCCATTATCGAAAAATTATGGAAAGCCAGACATGCTTAAAAGGTGAGATTAGGAGAAAATCGACTGAAGACACACACACAGACTATATATATATATATATATATATATATATATATATATATATATATATATATAGATGGATAGATAGATAGATAGAGAGAGAGAGAGAAATAGTTATGAAAAATTTGGTACTCCGTATGGCTAATCCCAAGGAGGATGTAATCCAGAGAGTTAAATATCAAATCAGTGCAATTATTAATTCAATTTAAATAGAAAGCAGACAAATTTAAGGACCCATTGGTTATAATTTATTTCTCCGGGTATGTGGGTTTTATCTGGTTCATCAGACCATACTTTCAAGGGTGAAAAAAGGATTTAAGTTTACATATAATTTTTATATATTTTTGAGAGGTAGTTTTAAGCTGATGTAAGGTGATATAGTTAGAGGGGGAGGAGGAGTATGACAGATTTGGTCGAAATTAGAGAGGGAAGGGAGAGATAGAAATAATTTTAAATATATATATATATATATATATATATTATAAAGCGGTAATCATACAATGAATCAATTAGTAATATAAATGTAATTAATGGAGAATTCTCTTCGCTAACAGACTTAATATAAGCATTAACTTACTAACAATCAGCTGAATGACGCGATCCTTATGCATAAAATTGTTGTCAAATGTGTGTGTATATATATATATATATATATATATATAGATATGCGAATAATTTGGAAGCATGTTTTCAATGAGACATGCTTCGCTGACTAATTTAGACATGTTTTGTCTAAATCTTTACCTCTTTTCGTAAACCTTATGACCCACTTTAATTTACAAAAATAGGCAAAAGATTTGTTTTTAAATTGACCTAATAAATCATTTTTATCGCAAGTTATCTACCATGGCCAGAAGAAGCACCATCTTAGTACTGAAACATGAACTTTTTTTGGGTGTAGATGTAAAAAATATTTTTATTGTAATTTATTATAATAAAATATTATATATATATATATATATATATATATATATATATAAACTGTTTCAAAGTTTTGTCTACTCATTTTTAATATGATCCTCTCATATTCAACAACAATTTAATTAGTATCCATATTAAAACAGACCCTGAAGCTAGTCGAAAGTACTTGTAAGAAATGACTATGCATCACTACGGTGGTCCGTGAATATGTGAGGACCATATTAAAAATAAGTAGAAAAAACTTTGTCTAAATTATTTAATCAGACATATCTTAATGAAAACATACGCAATATATATATATATATATATATATATATATATATATATATATATATATATATATATATATGTATGTATGTATGCATGTATGTATGTATTGTTGTAACCGAGTAAAGTTTACTGAATGACAAATAACCAAAACGGAGGTTGAAAATGAAATGGTGATGTTTATAACATCAACAAACTACAATACTCGCCAGCGGCGTAAAATAGGTAAACCACTGATAGTGGTGGAAGTGGACTACTTAGACAGCACATTACACTCCATTTACAATAGTGTCAAACGTATTTATGAGGATTGGGATATACCCATTAATGTTCATAAGTACAGTATATATATATATATATATATATATATATATATATATATATATATATATTCAGTTGTATGGATATGAGTTTGTGACCCTGGATTTCACGCTTTTGTGATCATCAGACAAACTGGCATTAATTGAATCTATTTATGCTTGTTTGCCTTTGATTATGTTTGCTGGTGGGAGAGGGAAATTCTTTGTGTTTGTTTGGAATGACACCTTCACACGTACAGACACACATACATACAGGTGCACGCATTTTAGTTCACACCAACACACCCATATAAACAATCTGAGATTAGATGCAGATACACATCCATGCTTTCATGAATACATACAGACATACGCAATTTTAATTCTATTTAGGTGTCGCGACTGTATGTAGCGATGTTCTTTCAACAAGGGCAAGGTTGGGGTGTTCTTGACTCTTTTCACATCTGCCGCCTACATGGACAGCCAACCTTACACTTCTTCACACACACATATACACATGTATACGTGCACGTATACTCCTATTGGTCTGGGCTTTTCATCACTACGTTGGTTAAGTGGGTTCTATTTGTGGACATGGTGAATACTTGTGTATTATTAACGATTATGACGATATTCATAGTGCTAATAATTGATATTATAATGTTAATAATAGTTATTGATGTGTTAACAGTAAATTTAGCCCTAAGGATGATGGAAACGAAAGTGTAATGGTAAAAAAATTTCAATGGTAATTCTGATAATAGTTGCGGTAATCATGGCAATGATGACGAAAATAATAATAATAATAATAATAAAAACAAAAACGGTGCCTCCTTATTGATATGGCAGCCCCTGCTGACTGCAATGTATCTTTGAAGATATTCAAAAAGTTGTCAAAGTACAAGGACCTTGAAATAGAAATCTCGAAAATGTGGCATATGGGAACATCAACAATCCCTGTTGTAGTTGGAGCCCTAGGACTGGTTGGAAAAGATTGCAGTAGACTAATTGAAGGGATTCCTGGAAGTCCATGCCTCAAGGAGATACAAAAAATTGTTCTGACAAGTACAGCCCACACCTTACGAAGGGCTTTATCTATGTAATTTAATTTTTTTTTTTTTTTGTCAGTGGAAAGTGTCATGACGCCATTTCTAACCTTAGGTCCTGGGGGGACCCGGAAAGAAATGTGTAAACGCCAGAAATCAAAGAAAATAAAAAATAATAAATAATCACAAACTCATATCCATACAACTGAATATGTTAGCTCTATCACTGATATTAATCACTTACAGCGCATATAAAATATATATATATATATATATATATATATATATATATATATATATATATATATATGTGTGTGTTTATTTAAGCAGTACATGTTCATTAAAGCAAATGTTGTTAAAGTCAACAGACGTTTTGTGTCGATTAATTTTATTGATCGACTTTTCCAAACTAAGATTAAACCTTCTCAGATAAAGAGTAAATTCCATCAGGAAATGGCCAAAGTTAATTTTGCGAGAAATATAGTCCAAGGTTTCCACTATCTTCAGTCATCATCAGGGTGCCATAACGTTTCGACGAAGTAGCTTCTGGTCATCATCAGGTGTCCATTGAGTGGCTGATATGAAATATCTGTTGATTATTGTGTCATTTCCACTCTACGATGTTGCGTCTATAATATAATATTGGGATCATTATCTGCCGCTTGAGGCCTCTCTATAAGGAGAAGTACAGAGGCGGGGGTGAATTTTTTTCACGGTATTGACGTTGAACCTATTTTAAACTGACCTAGTGTCACATACAGTAGTGACGTAGGCGCGGTGAAAGAAGCATATTGACAATTACTCATCTCAGAAATAAAATAGTAACGGTTTTCCCCTTTTTTTTTTTTCGTCTGCTCCAATTGTCGTTAATATTCCTTGTGAGTGTTAAATTGTCCTAGTCGTGTTTTCTCATTCTGTACCCATCAAAACTGTCTACGTAAATTTGCGGATTTGTCTAGGGGACAAGAGTTTTAACTTCCAAGTTCCGGAAGGTGGCCTAAATTACACCAACTTTTTGCTTACTAGATCTATTTTCTGAGGTTAGTTTGAATAGGGTGGATTTTTGTGAGAGTGTGTGTGTTTTATTTATTTATTTTCAAAAGGGCGCAATTTTACAATGGATATGCCGGCATCATCCTCAAATGTCTCCTTTCTTTGCTCGAACACGAGACAGAAATCTGCCTTATAGTTTTGTTTTTTGTTTTTATAAATTGATCTCCAGATTAAACGAAATAAAAATATTCTTGTTTATTCCAAGGGGAATATAAAAAAAAAGTCAAAGATTGCCGAAGGTTGAAAGAATATTTTAAAGAATTTTTAAAAAATTTCTTTGAGGTAGTAAGAAGAATTAAAAGTTGGATGATAAAAGGAAAATAAAAGTACTAAGAGAAAAATTTGGAGGAGGAAAGAAAGAAAAATTAGATGAAGTAGAGAAAAGAGGGAAAGGGAAGAAAAAAACAGTAGATGAAGTAAAGAAAGGAGGAGGGGAAAGAAAGAAACAGTAGATGAAGTAGAGAAAAGAGGGGGAAGAAAGAAACAGTAGATGAAGTAGAGAAAAGAAGAGGAAAGAAAGAAACAGTAGATGAAGTAAAGAAAGGAGGAGAAGGGAAAAAAGAAACATTAGATGAAGTAGAGAAAGGAGGAGGGGAAAGAAAGAAACAATAGATGAAGTAAAGAAAGGAGGAGTAGGGAAAAAAGAAACAGTAGATGAAGTAGAGAAAAGAGGGGGAAGAAAGAAACAGTAGATGAAGTAGAGAAAAGAGAAGGAAGGAAGAAAGAAACAGTAGATGAAGTAGAGAAAGGAGGAGGGGAAAGAAAGAAACAATAGATGAAGTAGAGAAAAGAGGTGGAGAAAAACGAGAAACAATAGATGAAGTAGAGAAAGGAGGAGGAGGAAAGGAAGCAATAGTAAATGAAGTAAAGAAAGAGGCGGAGGAAAGAAAGAAAAAACATTGATGAAATAGAGAAAAGAGGAGGAGGAAAGAAAAAACAGTCGATGAAGTAGAGAAAGGAGGAGGAGGGAAGAAAGAAGCGGTAGATAAAATAGAGAAAGGAGGAGGAGGAAAGAAAGAAACAGTCGATGAAGTAGAGAAACGAGGAGGAGGGAAGAAAGAAGCGGTAGATAAAATAGAAAGAGGAGGAGGAGATTAAAAAGGCTGGGTGGAGTAGAACAAAATGACGTGGCTACTGCTGCTGCTGCTGCTGCTGATGATGATGATGATGATGATGATGATGATGATGATGATGATGATGATGATGATGATGATGATGATGATGATGATGGATGGGAAGAAGGTGTAAAAAGAGAAGAAACAAAGAAAAAAGAGATGGAAGAAAAATGAAGATGGAGGAAAAGGAAAGTACGAGATGAATCTACCCGTAGATGAAGAAGGAAAAAGAGGATGAGAAATGAAATAGCAATGAAGAAGTAGAAGAAGAAAGAGAATTATTTACTCTATCGCGAATTAAAATTTCTTTCGTTTTTATATTTAACTTTATTTTTTAAATTGCTTTCATCATTTTTCCCATATTTTTTATGTTGTTTTTTATGTTTTATGATGTCATAAAAAAATTAAATTCTTTCTTTTTTCTGTCTTTCTTTATTTGTCTTTCTGTCTTTCTCCTCCCATTCCTTCCATTCAATATTCTTTCTTTCTTTATTTCCCTCTTTCTCTCTCTCTTTCTCTCTCTCTCTCTTATTCTCTTATTATTTTCTTTCTTTCTTTGTCCATTTCCTTCCAATATTTTTGCTTGCTTTGTCCAGTCTCTTCCGTCCATAATTCATTCTTTCTTTTTTTCTTTCTTTCTTTCGTTCACTGATTGCATCCGTTCTCCATTCTTTCTTTATTTATTTATTCATTCATTTTCCAATTCCTTCCAATAATTTTCTTTCTTTTTTCTTTCTTTTTTGCTTACTTTGTCTCGTCTCTTTTGTCCATAAACCTTCCTTTCCTTTGTTTCTCTTTTCCCACCGGTTCGCAATTATTTATTTATTTATTGTCCAATTCCTTCCATTATTTTCTTTTTCTTTATTTTTTTCTTTCGTTTCTGCTTCATTTTCTTGGTCTCTTCCGATCACAATTCTTTCTTTCTTTCTTTCTCTGTATTTTCTTTCTTTACCATCTTCTAAATTGATCCACGTTTCTTCAATAATTCCTTAGCCAAGAAGAATCCAAGAGAAAGATATTGAGGCAGCCGGAGACAAAATCTTTATATTCACTCATGCCTCGCTTCGAAGTTGAACCCTGCAACTAGAAGTGAGCCCAAACAAACCCACGTCTGGATCTTTTGACATTTCGATTAAATGTATTTCTTTTTATTTCTTTTAGATTTCAACGAACTGGAATATCACCTGGTAGAAATAAATAATCGGTAACGTTACCTTGGTGATGGATTAATTATGGTAAGTAAATTAAAATTTGACTTCACCTTTTTTACCCTCTTCACAGCTACGCATTAATTATTCCTTGCCTCCTGTGTTTACAATTGGAAAAAATTTATTTTAAAATAGACTGCGAAAATAATACTACGTATTTAATTATACTGCACAACGATGCCAGGCGTCCGTTGAGTCTGAAATTTCTTTCCAATATCCCATAATTCACTTTGACTTATTTGAGACAGCAACTGAGCAGTGGCATGACAAAATGGCAGCTGACATGTAAGTGTATCTGAAATCAATAAATACCTCCATGTAGAAAATACTGATATATTCAATTAACTCATGAAATAATTTTTTTTATTTTTCGTTATCCATTTTATACTTCAAAAAAATAAACAACAATTAAATTTTATTCAATTATATATTCACAAATGTTTGTAGTGGCTTGTATGACGACTCATCGATAAATTTTGAGTACAATTCGACAAGGTTTGACGTGAAAAAGATACCAACGAAATCTTGAATTTGCTAATTACAGAAAGTAACACCCTGAAAGCATTTTACAGTGATTGAATTAATTACTGCTAAGCCATGTGGATATGGCCGGTGGGGTAAAACAAGTCAAGATACAAATTTTTTTCCTGTTGTATTCTCTTATGAGAATTTGCGTTGCCAAGCGAAAGAACATTATTTTTATCCACGATGTATGCTACCACAGCCGTGCAAAAAAAAATAAAGTATCTTAGTGTAATCTAAATTTATTCTTAACAGTCATGTATAAAAAATATATAATATAATAAGTGCAAAGATTCTATTGAATCAACTGCTAGATTTGCAGCTAGGAAAGTTGGTTCACTGTGTTGGGCTAGACGATTTTTCTCGCCAGAATCTGACATATTTATAAGTCTACCATTTATCCATGCTTTGAATATTGCTGCCACATATAGTCTGATGCTTCTGTGATATATTTAGATATTCTTGATAAAAATCCAACAAGAATCTGCAATGTTATTGCCTCTGATCTGGCATCTCTGCTTCAGACTCTTTCTCATTGTCAAAATGTAGTTTCTCTGTGCTTTTTCTATAAATATTTTCATGGTAATTGTTCTGATGAACTTTCCACTTTTTTGTAAATATTCATTGAGGTTGAAATTTTTAAAGTGTTATTTTATTCCCCTCTCCCAGACAATGAATTGTACATATGGGGACTAGTTAGGATTTTCATAGAGGCAATGAGGTATTATGATGAATGTAGTAAGAAAGGTAAGTAAGAATGCATTGTTTTGATGTTAGGAATATTGGGGTATGTTTGGGTCAGTGTTTGTGGTTAGCTAAGTTTAATGTTAAGACAGATAAAGACCGTTCCCCTTTTGGGCCTTGTGCCACATTTTATATTATCATGCAAATAAATATCACTATCAACTATGATACCTCGAGTTTATTAATTTAAGTACTAGATTGGTAGGAAGGTTTCATCATTTTACATTTGAAATGGCCATATATAACCGTAAGTTTTATGCTAACAGTTTCCTCTATCGCTTGTGGAACTCTTCCCAGTCAACTCTGACCTTCAAAAATTTAAATGCAATGTCAATCGTTATCTCCTTAACTCTCGTTCTTTTTATTGTTCTCTCTCCGATTTTCTAGGGAAGGGGACTTTGTTAAAATTAACAACCCTCCAGAGAGCTGATCTTGATGCTCGTCTCTTTCACGTGTAGAATGAATCAGCCAAGCCAACTCGGGAGATACATTTCGATACATTGGAACACCGTAAATTGAAGACCGTCTACGTGAACCCAAGCTGAAGATACATCTAACTGGGCACCGCCTACGAAGTTATGCGCTGAATTCATCTAAATCTTTCTCCATATCTTATAATTTTGGCTACACTGCATGTGACTGGTATACTCTTATCTGACTGGTTGTCACAATGACTACGTTTGGCTTTCTATATTTGTACACAAGTCATTTTGTTTGCGTTCAGCTAACTGACCCAATAATACTATTTTCGTCTCGCAAAAAAAACACCAGATACGTACAGATTTAGTTGGATTTCAGTCATAATATGCACAGCCATTATTACCAGATAGAGAGCTTCACCCCATGCAGTTATACGATTTCCGTCTGTGTCTGTGCTAACGGAACTGGGAAACATCCAATGTAATTTCACAATGAGGTAACGGAAAGTGTAATCTCAGCATGGCGAGAAGGCAAAACACAAATAATATATATTACGTTATTTATTATGGGGTTTACCTGAGAGGGGGTGCAGGTAAGTTACACTTAGGGCCTATTCACAGCTATTTCTTACTGACTAAATTTTCCCTTCAGCCAGCGAGAATTCGATCGTTCTCAGATTCTCCCTCTTCATACACGAACCATAAAAACTGACTTTGCTTGTGACTATTCGTTTTCGAGAATTCAACCTGACAGCATAAACCTACAGACACGAAATTGCCTAGATTCTTGTCGAAAGTTTTTATTTATTTATTCAATTATACATAAAGCTTGTTGATTACTTCTGGGCAGCCGGTAGTTGCTTTGGAACTGTCATATCTCGAGTTTATAGTTTTTGCCCGAAAACAACGATCACTCCAGGCCGAGATAAAACCATTTGCAGTCCACTTTACTATGCGTGTCCAAACTAATCGAGCGGGAATCCGTTGTGTCACGACTAGTAACTCACCACTTATAAAACATGCCTTTGTAGAGAAACTGGTTTCCATGGTAGTGCTTTCTATATGTGAAGGAAATTGCTGCTACGTGTCGGATATGTCTACTTCCTTTTCATTCTGTTAAGACTGTTGGCAGGAAATCGAGTGTCAACACGTGGCAGACGCACATCTCGTTTTTTTCTTCCCGCGTTTTCTGGCGTAATATTTGTGAGTTATTCAAACTTATAATAAGGTGTATACAACATTTTCGATCATTTTCTAAGTAAAATATTGTGTATCCCATAAATGCATAGTATCATTATTCAGTCATGGATTTATTTTTCGCTGGTTTTCTCTGACAGCTAATTTGTGTATTCCATTATAGAAGAGGTTAAAGTAACAGCATTTTTGAGAACATTCTTAAAGAAAAAACTGCTCATTACTTCAAGATGGTTTAAATTGACTTTCGGAGTTAAAACATGAATCTAAAATTCAATGCGGTACAGTGTTTGGTGGTATTCTTAACTACTAGATAGGGTTTGCCATGATCAAGTTAAAGATTGATTTGGTTCGTATACTAGATTATTTATCAGTTCATTTAATAATGAAATTTAATGGGTTTTATTTTAAACAAAGCCTTGCATTTACATAGTCCAAATGTTATTTTAAATAGTAAGACTGAAGTTTGTTATGGTTAGTTTTTTAAACTTATATTTTTAAAATCAGCTTTATATTTTTTTAGTGTTGCATTGATTGTGATTTTGCTATAAAAATGTATTGTTGATCATTTTATTATAAAAATGTACTGTTGATATTTGTTTGGAGGTTGACTAATTGTTTATAGCTGGGATTTTAATAGATTCTACCAACTCAAGTCAAAATGAACCTGGGGACAACAACAGTTAAGAGGTGGTTCCATGTTCCTCAAAACCTCCAATCTCCTGATCGGACGTCTTGCTGCCGGATGTAATTTATCATCATACCCAGGACGATCAATTTAAAGAACAAAGAGACTCTGATATTCTAGTTTCACGTGATTTATCTTCAAGATCACAGATTGCTGAAATCGTAAAGAAGGCTAATCAAAGAATAGACGTCATCAAATATTACTTAACGACTCTTAAAATGTAAAAAAAAGAAAAACTATTTACACTAAACTTATTCAGTCAGTACTTGAATATGTGGCTAGTAGCCGGACCCTAAACTATTAAGTAGTTTATAAAATAACAATAAACGAAGTAGAATAAATAAAATAAACGTTTTGTCTTCTAATATATTATTATAACAGTTGTAAAAATAATATATTAGATCATTGTAAACGTTTTTCCCGATTTCAAAAATTAAAAAGAAATCAACACTGTACATACTCAGATACAAGATAAATATTTATTAGTCAAGTACATATTTTCCATTAAATTTCATTTCGCCTGAGGCACTTGTCATGAGCTGATTGCACTAAGGTGATATCGTTTTTGTTTTAGGTTGTTCGGAAAATAATGTTCGATTTTAGAATCAGATTTTCTTCCTGAATTAACATATTTAAACATTCAAAATAGGAACCTTGAACAACGATACGTGTCTGTCGTTGAATTAGAAGGTGTTATTGATGCCTTTACGATAAAACTCTAAAGGTTTGGACGCCAAGAAATCTTTGAATGCAATTCCTCCATGTTACTTGCAATGGAATCTCTTTTGGTTTAAAAAATTGTCAAATTTCTTGAAAAAGTGGTAATCAATGGAAGAGAGATCAGAGGAATATGGTGGATATGCCAAAGTGTCCTCGTATCTCAAGTTCGTGAGCTACTGCAGTGTCATCATTACAAAAGCATTGCCAGGAAGCAGAATTGAATCTTGTCGATTAACCAATGTCTCGCATTTTGCTTAACTGAATATGCATTGCAATCAGTTATTCGCAATAAATTTCAGGGGTGATGTCCTCTACCACATTGATCTTAAAGACTCGTTCAACAGGTGCCTCAGGCGAAACGAAATTACCAACCCTTCTGTCTAGACGCCATTTCATCTGTGGAAGATATACAAAATACTGAATTCTTATACATGGGTCAGCAAATGTAGGTACACAGTAAGTACGAAACCAGTATTATAAACCAGTTTCATAGGTTATATGTCATCTACACGCAATGGATGAGTTGTTCGAAGTTCCTCTCCCATTTATATATTTCATTCATCATTATCATTTTGAATGTAACCCTCTACCTTGAGTTGCTCTCGAGGCTTGCATTTGAAGAAATAGAATAAAAAATAAACATAATTCTACTAAGAATCTTTGACATTTGAATTAATGAGACTGTTGTTGCTATAAGCTTTAGTACTTTAGAAAATTTCTTTTTGACCTGTATTTGTTTAATAATCACATGACGGTCCCAGCACATTACCTTGGAGCAAACGAAGGGTATGACCTTTTCTTGTTGTTTCCACTAAATTAATGAATGACAACTATCAGCAAAAAACTTAAATGGACAAAACTCTTCGCAGAATATCGGTTAGAACTATTTTTTAAAATTTCTTTGAGAGATGGTGCACCAGGGATTTTCCTGATTTGTTGTTGAGTTAACAGATCCAAAGCTCCAAACGCAACAAGAACAGATTTAATTTTTAAGTGTCACTTTTGTTTTTACTTCCATCTCGAGGTCTTTGTATTTGCTTAGTTTTTCAAAAAATATATATATATATATTCTGGTCACTTGGTATACTCATTGCAATCAGTGTGCAATCATTTACTTTTATATCTTTGATAATAAAATGTCTGGGCGATTTTTGCTTCTGTTGTACGATTTATGTTAATAGAAAAATCCCAGAGGATGGTAACACCTGCTTCTTCAAGTACAGATTCAAGATTATGTATAGATCAGTTTGCAGCTGTTTTTATCTCGTTGTGATGACAAATCCTCCAATTTCATTAAGGAGGAGAGAGCCTTGAAAATCAGCCAAGAGGGAGACTGATGTAATGAAATAGCCTGTCACCTCCATGAGTGACTACACTATCGGTAGTAACTACTTATAAGTATCTGTAAGTCAACAGACTACAGAATCTAACTGCGACCTGTTCCAGCTAGATAGTCGAACTCTCTGCCTTCGGGCAGAAAGGAACCCGGACGAGGCTCCGCCGAAGGTCAGATTCTCGTTCGAGGAGGTAGACTGCCCCTGAACCCGTTTATGCGGGTTCAAAAAGGGAATATTTTGGCCGAGGCTATGGGCTCGGAGAACCCAGGTTAAACCGGCCTTGTGCCACATGCAACCTTCGTAGGTGGTAGCTAAATATACTAGCAGCGATCTGTTACTCAGGTCTTAGCTGCTGTCGGACTCTCTGCCTTCGGGCAGAGGGGAACCCGGACGAGGCTGTGCCGAAGGGCAGCGTCTCGACTGGGGTTTATGCGGGTTCTACGGGGAAATTTTCGGCCGAGCCTACGGGCTCGGATGACCCACGTTAAACTCGGCAGAGAGGAACCTGGACGAGGAATTATGAGGTTATAGAGTGTCCACCTTATTCAACAGACATCCCTCCTACATATAATTAGTTAAACAGTTTTGACCTTCCACACACGATAGAAGATTCTTTGAATGTGAAGTCGTCAAAACGAAGAGTTTTTAATGCGATAAAACAGTGTTGCGTTGATAGAAAAACTATAGAACAAAACTGATATTACTTTAATTAAATAAAGATGCATTTTGATTCAATGTAAGTGACTTTTTTTAGTGTGGGGAGGGTGCCATTCATCAAAATCCGTCATTATATATGGGACGACTTAATAACAAAAATCCCTCGTAGAATTTGAAGAATAATCAGAATGGGTCATTGTGAATGTGAGGCAGACATAAAGCACAATGTTCTGTTCACGCATGCCTCGTAAGGTCACATCTGATTGGTTGCATTAAAACCGTTCCACTGGTTCCTGAGATATTCAAAAAAACTCTCCGTTTTCTGAGAAGACCTCGGTTAACTGTCAAAATAATAGTAGCGCTTTGATAATTGGCATCAGAAGTATCACATATCCTCCGCCGGATATATATATATATATATATATATATATATATATATATATATATATGAATGTAACTGTTGTAACAGCAACTCTCCATGATACCCTTCTAAAAAGAAACGACGATTCTAGTCAGCCAATCAACAATGCTCAGCTTTCGGTGAGACAGAATTTTCTATTTCAACCCTTGTCAAAGCAGTTACTCTCTTCTGTGATCTACAAAACTTAATTCTGTTTAAATGTTGTTGTCCACCATTCATCTTTTCACGATCAAATCAATTGTGTTTCTTGCGCTAAGCTTGGATTAATTTGACTCCCCTTAGAAATTCGAGTTCACTAATAATCAGTATAATTAAGTTCGGCATGTCTTTAATAACGTCGATTGGGTTAATCGAACTCAAAGCAGACATAAAGGATACGAAGCCGTCAAGAAGGCAACCGGCCGAGTAACATTCATCTTAATAATTACAACAGTTAAATGCACATATATACATATATATATATATATATATATATATAGAGAGAGAGAGAGAGAGAGAGAGAATTACAACAGTTACATGCATATATATATATATATACAGATAGATAGAATTACAAGTTACATGCAAATAGATAGATAGATAGATAGATAGATAGATAGATAGAATTACAACAGCTCTAAATAGATCATAACTCCACACACAAAAACACACAACCTGCACACATAATGTCCAAACACAGTGGTCAAGCCACCCGCATGCAATGCTCACACACTCACACGCGGGTGTCTGTTGAGCACCAATATGTATACGCATATTGACAAAAACAATAGACTACTCACAGGCACAAAACCTACACAACATAGGAAGTGGGTGTATGTGTGTGTATGTATGTATATATTTATGTATATGTGTGTGTACGTATGTGTGTGTACGTATGTGTGTGTGCGTATGTGTGTATATTAATTCCTTATAATTATACAATATGTATGTATGGACAGGGAATGCACGTATACACACACATACGAGTGTATATGTGCTCATATTGGCAAAAACAAAACTGCTCACACACAATAAAAAAAAATGGTAATAGATCTAAAACACAGGGGGTCATTAAAAGATAAGAATACAGATATCTTTCCTTACCCTTTCTCGGACCAATCTTAATTGTTTTATTACCCTTCACACAGAAGATCTTTCTCGATGCCAGTTCAAGGAAGACATTTTTGTCACTAACACACGAAAAAAGAGAATATTTAACACCGAAAAACATAAGAAAATTAATTCCTTTCAATAATATGTAGAAATCTCCACTCTTTGCCTGATGAAGGTGGCGAGACCGGAAACACGTGCAACAAAATTATGGAAAATAAAGCATAATATATTTTTTTTAAAAATCCACATTACAACCAAAAATATTTGCGGTTTCTCTCTTCTTTTTAATATATACACTTTTCTCTCGTTGGAACAACTATACCTATTCCTTTATATATATATATATATATATATATATATATATATATATATATATATATATATATATATATATCGTTCGATTAGCAAGGTCGATTTTACTGTTTTTAAATCGATTCTCCGTGGCTCGATCGGTCAAGGCACGTCAGGCTAAATGACGGTTCCGTTATAGGATATAGGTTTGATTCCTGTCGGAGGGCGAATATTTTCTATGAAAATTTCTCGGACATTCAGGCAGGTAAATGTTATTAATAATGTTTATTATAAACGGAACATTTACTTAAATAGTTGTATCTATAAAAAGAATGTATAAACATAAAATTGTCTTAAAATAATTGTCGGACTTTGTCCATTTCATAATACATATATATGTGTGTGTGTGTGTATGTGCACGCGCGCGCGTATTGTCGTATAGTGATTTTCCAAGCGTAGCTCAGATTTGGCACAAGGCCAAAAGTATGGGTTATCCAGTGAGGATCGAACTCACTAGCGCGCATTGTCGTATAAGAAGTTGTAAGGATTTGAAAAGGATGAAAAAGGAATTGGTAAGTAGTATTTACATTCTTCAGCAAAATTTCGATTCATTTTGCCGTTTTGCTTTTATGAAAGGTGTAAATCTCTTACCTTATTATTTTATATGTCGATAATTGATTTGACAGTAGCATCTAATTAATGTCAAGTTTGTTTCAGAACAAAGTGCACTTGATAGTAAAGCGTTAACTTGCTTAAGCAGAAACAGCTGTTAGCCAAGTGTCAGCCTTTATAGATTCCATGTATTTCATGTAATTTATTTGCCTCAATCTCTTTTGACCCCTGCCATCAAAAGATATTGGCCTGTATCTTCTTTCTACAAAATCTAAAATGTTAAACGCACAGAAAACAGACCTTGAGTCCCTTTAGTTTCTAGTGGGGAAGAAGAATGTTTTATCTGGTAGAGAGCGATATTTACGGAGACAATGATCGTTCTTCGACAATGAAGGACTTTTTATTTACTTTCAAGAGCGGCTTCTTCCAACTAGAAGGGTTTCCCACAGAGCAAATTATATCAGTAGTACATCTAATGGAGAAATCAATAGTCAACAAAAGTTACTTGCTGCTTCTACTCTTTTTAATTCATTTTAATTATTTATTTCACAAAAGCTTTTAAGAACTTAACTATGCCCGACATGATGTAGCTTTTGATGAAGTGTCTATAAATAAACTAGCTACCTAATTCAACAAATCAAAGTTTATTTTTGTTATTTCTTTTCATTAAGATAAAACAGTGGTCGACCTGTAATCTTTTTAAAAGGGTGTAAAACGTGTAAGCGTACGTTCTGTTGTATGTATTTGTCGTATTGGATATTAAAGAAACGTTTTTGCTCTATTAATCACCCATTTTTTTTGGTTTCAAAAAAAAAAAAGAAAGATTTCGCGGTGCGCGCCGTATGAATAGATGAATAAAAGCGGGTAGTTTCATTAAATACAAAAGTTGCCTTCGAATAAGAGAATGATTTGTCACCTTTACTTGTAATGATTCCGAAAACAAAAGGAATTCCTTTCAGAGTATTTAATCTGTACACCTACGAAATAAAATTTAAAGTGTTTTAACAGTAACAGGCTCGGTGTTAAACGCGTTGAGATTGCTTTTCAGTGCTGAAAAGTACGCTTAAAGTCAGAGTAGTTGTAGTTACATGGGAGGGGGGGGCTCAAACGGGTAGCAATAATTGATTAACCATTATACCCATTTTTCTCGTCTCTCTTTATTTATAAATCTAGTTTTATTAAATATTTATATATATATGCCATAAAATTACGTACACTATATATATTTATTTATAATAAATTAAATAATTTATTTAGCAATATTTTCAATGTGAATCAGCAGATTATACCAAAGTCCGTTTGCATCAACCAACACGGTTTCGAGTGGCTTAAAGTGGACATGTAAAAGTCATATCATAAAACTACTGAGTGTCTGTTTGCCCATCTCTATCTATCTATCGGATTGATTGATTAATTTGTTTTTTACGGTTTATCAACCTATTAAATATAAAACATATTTTTGGATTGTAAGAATTTGGAGGCAAAAAATAATGATTTTCTGATACAAGTCTTAATAATAAACACATTTGGGAGGAGAAAAGAACACGATTGGAATTCGAACTCGACTCCCCGTTTTTCTTACTCCGATTCATTACACTACGCGTACATCGAAGCTTTCAACACCTGCGATTCACCAACGGTCACAAATCTAGATAATAATCAACTTCAACGTTTTATTTATTTATTGTGAAAGTAGTTGTGGGTTTTTTCAAAAGTGTAGGAGTTACTTTCTATAATGACATCACAAACCCCACAACTTTTTTTGTTGCATTTTGTGACCCTCTGTATATTGTTTTGTTTAAATTTGAATGAGGTTAATATATGTTTCAGGTTTTTAAATTGGATTTTGCTTTTAATTATTTGGGTTTGGTTTGGTTTATTTTGTTTTACGGCATATCAACCTCAATAGATTATTTAATGCGGACAACATTTTTAGGTTAGATTCGCATGAATAGAATATGTATTCTTTGGTTTAGATTGGTTTGGTTTATTTTGTTTGACGACATATCAACCTCAATGGGTTATTTAATGTTGACAACATTTTTAGGATATATTCGTATGAATAGAATGTGTATTCTTTGGTTTAGATTGGTTTGGTTTAATTTATTTTACGGCATATCAACCTCAATGGGTTATTTAATGCTGACAGCATTATGGCATATCAACCACAATGAGTTATTTATTGCCGACAAATTTTTTTATTGCTGGTAATATTTTGTTTTGTCAAAAATCTGTTTCTAATAATATTTTTTCTTCATAGTTGTATTGCTGATAATAATTTTTTTTCAAAAAAGGATTGCTGGTAATAGATAACTATTTGCCCATAGCTGGGACCCTAACAGGTGCTACCACCTCGGGTCAGAGCGGACCTGGGTTACACCAGCAAATAAGAGAGGGTTTCACGCTCTTAAAACCTCTTGATCAGAAGCCTTGCTGCTGGACTTAGTTTATTGTCTTACCCAGGAAGCGGATGTAGTTTAACCTCTTACCCAGGACGGGTTTAATTATTTTGGATGTTTTTCGTAGATTTTTCATTTTGGCATTCTTCTTAAGTACGTCTACATTTATTGTAATTTCCGTAAATGATGTTCTTATTGTATGTTGTGACGTATGCTAGGGTTTGTTCGACGTTATATATATATATATATATATATATATTTATTATATATATATATATATATCTATTATATTTCGAACATACATATTTCCGCTACAAAAATGCATTAAATGATGGTGAATTCATATTTGATTCGTTCTTATTGCATGCATGCATATATATATATATATATATATGTGTGTGTGTGTGTGTGTGTGTGTGTGTGTGTGTGTTATGGTGTAGAACCATAGAAAGATAACACGGACTCGGATATAAGGTTAAATAGTATATTCTCGGAAACGTAGTACAAAGGTAAATGTGGACTGGAGAATACTTTCTCTAACTGGTGTCCTGACTCACTCATTTACTCACTCTATGGTTACTACTCGGTGACCCTCACTCGGTGACTTCAGCTACTCAGAGTTGGTAGCCATATTATATAGGTGTGGAAGAGTCCATTTGTAAATAGGTCCCCACAACAGTATATTAGTAATTAAGAGTAAAAATAATATTTTAAAATTGTAGTTCAATATAAAGTATTCTAACCCAAACACTCCTTTTAAAAAGAATCTTTAAGTATACAAATTTAACGAAAAAAACGGAAAAAAAATGTTGTTAAAAAAAAAAATGTACGAGACGACATGCATTGAACGGATGTCAAAATTCGTTGAAAAATGCACCCCTACCTAGACTTAACCTCTTTTTCGAACGTTATTCATAAGTGATACAACAATAGTTAATAAAAATGAACATACTACCACCCCTGTCTAAATGATTAGGTTTCTCTGTATCTTTTTAAACAAAAATTATGAATGTATGTGCTTTAAAAATTCAGTAAATTTCAAAAATAAGTTATTCAAAAATTCGCTTGAAGATGAAACAGAACTAATGCTTTTAATTTAATTATATAATTGAATTTGAGGTTTTTAGTTTCTGTTTTTGAAACATGGTAATTCCTGTGTAGTGAAGGGACCATATTTTAAATCAGTTAATTTATAATATTTATGCTCTGTAAATTTATATTGAGCACTGTTCTGTAAAAATATAAATATCAATAAGAACACTGGATTATATATCTTACTGTTCTTTCTTTTTATATATATATATATATATATATATATATATATATATATATATATATATATATATATATTCGAGGATAACCGTCTAGTAGGGTGACTAGACTCTCGCCCAAGGACATTGGTGTTTGCTCAACCCCTACAGTGTCAACCTGTGGTTTATACTGCAACTATGCTACCTTAGTTACAGTTTCTGGGGGACAGCAATCTGAACAAGACCAGCACATTCAAACCCTCGCTCACGCACAGCTATCGACGGACCCTAAGTGTTCCCTCTACCCAATTTCACTCACAAGGCATGTCCCCGCTCGACATTCGAACCCACGTTCTAACCACTCGGCCATATATATATATATATATATATATATATATATATGTGTGTGTGTGTGTGTGTGTGTGTGTGTATGATTATTTGTAAACCTCCTATAATAGTAGAAGTATTAATTATCCTAAAATTAATTGCAAAATCACTGAATTATAAATTTATCGCTATTTCCATCGAAAATGTTTCAGACGAGTTACATTCCGCCAGTTCTTCACGACTAAGATCCGCCATGCCACGCCCATTGTAGCAAACCACCCTCATTCCATTAGTAACCTATTGATGAGATGTAAGTTCCACTCTACTAACATTCTACCTCAAGTGGCTCTCGGGGCTTGTACAGGGGAACATCATTGTAAAATAAATAATTTCCTGCTCCATGAAGGACACTCTGAATATTTTGAAAAAGCCATTTTGGACAAACTTTTAGAAAAAATATTATTACCAGCAATATATTTTTGTGAAAAAAATTATTAACAGCAATAAAAATCGGCATTAAATGCCCCATTGATGTTGATATGCCGTAAAACAAACCAAACAAAACCAAACCCTGAACTATCACCAGCAGTCACGATGAAGATATTCTCTCAGGGAGGCCTCGTGAATTGGGCGTTTGTTTGAACTTAAACTTTACACAGACTTAAGGTGGAACTTGCACATACGATTCTGGGATAATGGCCAGTTCCTTATAACGTTCCAGTAAGTATCTGACTGCTCGTGTTATCCTCTAACTTTACAAGAGCCAGATCAAGCCTAACATATCCTCATAATCAGGCCTATGTATCCTCATAAACTGTACCTCTTACTCTGTAACCCCCTACCTCGAGTGGCTCCCGGGCCTTGTAAAAGGTAACATCACTGTAAAAAAAAGGCGGGAATCTCTGTGTAAAAGGTTTGTGATCAGCTATTGCCATATTTCGGCGGCAACTGCCCAGCATTCCTGTCTCGATAGAGTCCAGAAGCATTTCCGAAAACCCTTGTAGGTGACAAACTATTTTCCACCCTACAACCCCTTTCCTCACAGACTAAATGTCGCAAGCCTCTCGCTGCTCTATCGCTATTTCCATTGAAAAGTATTCAGATTGAATGACATTCGTCAGTTCCACCAGTTCTAAACTTCATGGCTAAGACCTGCCATGCGAACCCCTCTCGCATTCCTTTCGTATTTCCTTGGTGAGATGTAAGTTCCACTCGATCAGCTTCTTCCCACAAGCTACTGCATTGTGGAACCGACTCCCAAGAGAATGCTTCCCCAATTGCGACAATCTTAACCTGTTCAAGTCTAGGATTAACCGTCATCTTCCACATATATCGTCATAAACTGTGCCTCTTACTTTGTAACCCCCAACCTCGAGTGGCTTGTAAAAGGTGACATCACTTGCGATCAGCTTTTTTATATATTACTAACAAAATATGCATTTACAACATGAGCGGGTATATACGGTTGGCATAGGGCTTATTTTAATTTTATAAAAACAATGTATATATTTCATTTATATATAAATATATAAGTAATGTTTTTGTTGATAATTTGTTAGGGGAAGTCAACATCATTTTTACGTCCTTAATTTTCTCTTCTAGTTACATTTGCTATCCATTTCATTTGTTGTTGCTATTGAAAATCCTGAAGGGATCCTAAAGTGATGTGGTTTCTGTTATATGGCACAGTCCTTTGTCTGTGAGTCTGTGGCATCAGCCGAAGACGGATGATCCCCTCTAAGACCTACAGGGTTCATTTTGCTAGCAGCTGTTTGTAATCATTGATCTGAGAAAGGCGTTTCAAGACATTTGATATTTTAAATTTTCTGAAGGAATTTCCTACAATGCATGACGTCCATATGAAAGTTTCGATATGACGAAGCTATTTCAGAACATGTCTTGGGTTTGTAGTAATTTGCTTTGTTGGACAAATGTGTCCGTAACACAGCCTATTCTGTGTTCAGTACTAAATTTGTTATAACTGATCAATACACCGTTGTATTTGAAGTGTTTAAGATGCGTTTTTTTATTAATATTGAGTGAATGTTTTGGAGTATCCTCATCTTTGTTCTTACTTGTGCCTGGTAGATTCAGATGAAGTTTTATTAATATTTAATGCATCTTTTCGACTGTCCTCGTTTTCATTGTTATTATACGGCAATAAAAGAGCCAGCCTCCATTTCATTCTTAGTTTCAACCCCGGGTTCTTTTATCACCGATCTTCAAATGACTATTAGTTACAATAAAAAGCAACAGATATAAAATGAAAGAATTTCGTAACCAAAGATTAATCGGCAACGCTAGGTAATTCGTATTCTTTTACTAGACCTAAATACTTCTGTAGCCTATAAACATAATCTGGGCGGCAGTCTCAGGTTTCTAAGAATGGCAGATGTATACATTAGAAACGACTTGTGCATTATTTACAATAGTTTATAGTGTTTCCCATTTGCAAGGACAAGCTTATGTCTCTTTTATGTCCATGACCTTTGAAACGCTATTAAGATGACAGTATCTGTTGTCGGCATTATCATTTTAATTGCTTCATTATGAGCAGCCGTTGTTTTAATTCAAGCATATTTGTCTCCGTAGACAATCTAGCGTCACTCGTTAAACAATTCTTTGTAGGAAACCATTTCAACATAGGTTATATTCTCACCGAATGCGCGAATATTATGGATTTGTGCCGGAATATTCTACACTCAATAAATATGACGCCTGTTACATTTAATTCGCCTATTCCCGGGAAAATTGGAAAGAAGCTCTTTATTTAATTCGCAGGCATAAGTTTGTTTTTTTATTTCACTCTCTGTATTTATGATGATATAATGTCAGGGAATTTTTCTTAAAAGATCAGAGAGAATATTACTTGGAATGTTGTTATTCTAACAACAAATAGAAATGATCTGGTTGACATAAGCAGATGAAGTATCCACGGTGTTGATGAAATAATTTTGTCTCCATTTCTACAATGATGAAAAATAACAAAAAATTGTTGGTAGAAATTGTGAGCTAATTAGAAAAGAAAGAAAGAAAGAAAGAAAGAAAGAAAGAAGCAAGCAAGCAAGAAATAAAGTAACACGCAAGCAATAAAAAAAAAAGAATGAAAAAAGAAAACAAAACAGACAAGAAATACAGATAGAATGACGCAAGAAAGAAAGAAAGAAAAGAGAAAGAATGAATGGAGAAAAAAGACTGATGGGTACGAATAACAACGAAAGCAAGACTAATGAATATTAATAAGAAAGAAAGAAAAAGAAAGAAAGAAAGAAAGAAAGAAAGATTGCTAAGAATAAACTAATATAAGACTGCCATTCGTTAATTCATTGAATATTTCTTTCACATCTGTTTTGGACATTCTACGGTGTATTTAGAGATTTTTGATAGAATCCAAAGAAAAATCTGCAATGTTATCAATCCTGAACTGGCATCTCAGCTACAGTCACTTTCACACACCCGTAACGTAACTTGTCCTTGCGTTTTTCTTAAAATATTTTCATGCTAATTGTTCTGATGAGTTTTCATCTTTGTTGCCTGAACTTTAGGAATTTAAATGCATTAGATTGCACTAGATTGTCAGTTAAGTCTCATCAAAAATTCTAAATGCATCTTCGAATCATATAACTAACCAGATAAACATACTGGTCCAAATAGTAAAGAAAATAATAATAATAATTTCCAATTTTTTAGAATTTCGTATCAGTCTAAATTCTTTCTGTGTCCCCCACCTGATATCATCGTCGATCAGACCATGAATCCATCCTGGGTATGACGATAAACTAAATCCGTGTCATGGCTAAGACGATAACAGCAAGGCCCTCTGATCAGGAAGTTTTGAGGATCATGGAACCACTGGTGTTCCCAGGATCACCCTGACTCGGGGTGGTAGCACCTTTTAGGGTACAAGCTCTGGACAAATAGTTGAACCCCCACCAAACTTATTTCTAAACACTATGATAGTCCAAAAATAGTTTTAATATCAGCAATAAATAATTTTTACCAGCATTATGTTATAACCAGCAATACATTTTTGAATAAAAAAATATTACCAACTATAAATTCTTGAAGAAAAATATTACCAGCAATGCATTTTGGGATAAAAAAAATTATTACCAGCTATAAATTCTTGAAGAAAATATCTGCAAGACATGTTTGAATAAAAAAAAATATTACCAGCGATAGTATTTTTGTTTTGTTAGAAATCCATTTCTATCAATATCTCTTTCCTCAGAAATATATAGCTGGTAATAGTATTTTTCCAAAAACGTATAGCTGGTTATAGCATTTTCCAAAAACATATAGCAAGCATATCTTTTCAAAAACGTATTGCTGGTAATATTTTTTCTTTCAAAAATTTATTTCTGGTAATAACTTTTTATTTATTCCTCTACAGTTCTATTGAAGTATCTTATGTGTATTTGTGATCATTGTTTTCCTGTTTGGTTCATTGAATTACTTTGTCTTTTAAGGTTTGTCTAGGTTTTTCCTTTCAAAAACACATTGCTGGCAACATTTAGTTTTCAAAAATGTATTGATGGTAATAATTTTTTTTTACAAAGAGTTTCTGGTATTAAAACACATTTTTACACTTTCACAGTGCTTTGACCCCAGTTAAAATTCTATTGAATAAGGTTTTGTTAAAAAATGTATGGCTGGTAATATTTTTCTTATTCTTTTTAAACGTATAGCTGGTAATATTATTTTTCAAAAATGTATAGCCGGTAATATTATTTTTTCAAAAACGTATTGATGGTAATATCGTTTTTCATAAACGCACTGCAGCAACATTATTTCTTCGAAGACGTATAGCTGGTGATACTGTTTTCCCCAAAACGTATAGCTGGCAATATTATTCTTTCAAAAACTGCCTTTCTGTTGGACGTAGTTTATCGCCATACCCAGTATGTGGATTTAATTTATCGCCGTACCCAGGACGTGGATGCAGTTTACCGTCATACCCATGGATGCGGATGCAGTTTACGGCCATACCCATTGACGCGGTTGCAGTTTACCGTCATACCCATGGACGCGGATGCACTTTACCGTCATACCCATGGACGCGGATACAGTTTACCGTCATACCCATGGGCGTGGATGCAGTTTACCGTCATACCCATGGACGCGGATACAGTTTACCGTCATACCCATGGACGCGGATACAGTTTACCGTCATACCCATGGACGCGGATACAGTTTACCGTCATACCCATGGACGCGGATACAGTTTACCGTCATACCCATGGACGTTGATGCAGTTTACCGTCATACCCATGGACGCGGATACAGTTTACCGTCATACCCATGGGCGTGGATGCAGTTTACCGTCATACCCATAGACGCGGATGCAGTTTACGGCCATACCCATGGACGTGAGTTCAGTTTACCGTCATACCCATGGACACGAGTTCAGTTTACCGTCATACCCATGGGCGCGGATGCAGTTTACGGCCATACCCATTGACGCGGATGTAGTTTATCTTCATACCCAGGACGTGGGTTAGATTGGGATTTCACTATTTGCCCATACCTGAGACCCTAACAGGTGCTACCACTCCGGGCTAGGGTGGACCTGGAAACACTCACAATTAAGAGGTGGTTCCACGTCCCTCAAAACCTCCCGATCAGAGGCCTTGCTGTTAAATGCTGTTTAACGTCATACCCAGGAAATTACCAGCTATAAATCCTTGAAGAAAAATATTACCAGCAATACGTTTTGAATAAAACAAAATTACTAGCTATAAATTCTTGAAGAAAAATATTACCAGCAAGTCATTTTTGGATAAAAAAAATATTACCAGCTCTAAATTCTTGAAGAAAAATATTACCAGCAATGCATTTTGGGATATAAAAGAATATTACAAGCTCTAAATTCTTGAAGAAAAATCTTGCCAGCAATACATTTTTGAATAAAAAAAAATTACCAGCAATGCATTTTTGGATGAAATATTACCAACAATAAAAAAAAACTTGTCGTCATTAAATAACCCATTAAGATTGATATGCCGTAAAACAAAACAAACCAAAGTAAACGAAATCACTCAATCCAAGGCCAAATAGATACTCATGGTAGGAGGCGGTTAATGAATGTGATGTGGAATATGAACGTAAGATGATGAAGCAGGAAATAGGAATTTAAAAATATGAGGATGTGGAGGATAGATAATGCTATATTTGAAAAGGTTAAGATTATAATGTTCGGAGAAGCGCGTCTACTCGGGTGTTTGTTGTCCCACAAAGTAACGGTCCATGGAAAGAAGCTGTTTGTGTGAAACGTTGTACTTGCAAATCGAATACAGCAGGAATGAGGGTGAATTAATACTATGGCAGCGGTAAGTTGGTTGAAAAGGTCTGAAATGGTGGAATGCAAAAAAAGGAGCTGATCTGAACTTTTGCCATTAAAGTATCAATACATTAATGATAGACTTACAATATTCCGTTCCATGAAAAATTAGCTATAGGTACTTTAAAGTATGTGCCACAAAGATGATGAGGTTTGCAAAAAAGCCAATCTATCACTCGATGTTGAGGATGATGGTCTTGATCTGTTTGCCTGTTAGTTGGGTCTGTGGAATCTGAGATGTCTATTGAAACCTATTTTTGCTTCAGATATCATTAGACATTAACGATTGGTTGTATTGGACGGCGGATTAGTCATTGCTTGTCATTTTCCTCCAGTTCGGCTGATCGTTTTCATTCGAAGATTGTTGTTCCCTGTCTAACAATGAATCTCCAGAGATTCCAGTCCATTGTACTGGATTCCCAACTGTTAATATCGATATTACATTTCTTCGTGTTTTGTTTTAAAACGTTCTTGAATCTGTTCTTTTGACCTCCTCTTTTCCGATTTCTTTCTTTGAGTTGAGAGTAAAAAGATTTGTTATGGTCACCGGTTATCATCCATTCACGCCCGATGCTTTTGTTGAAATATTTATGTTATTTTAGTGTTATTTTTGTCTATGTGTTCACTATCATTATTATTTAGTTTGGGAAGAAATAGTCTAATTTGGTAGTCTATGAGGTAGTTAGGAAAGCCATTGTTAACTAGTGTCTGTTTTGCATAGTTAAGTTCTTTAAAGAAGAGTAGCCAAATGCACGTCAACTACAAACAAGATGAATCTTCACTTAGAAATATCATATCCATTGCACCAACTGACCCGAACAAAAAAAATGAAATTAATTATCTACTATTAAAAATCTTAAAACAGCTAATCTTCTAAAAAATAACAACACACCAGCAAAATCAAAACTACAAAGAACGATTATTTATATTATTCGGACTATTGTCCTCATCTTTGTCGCCATATTTGTTACAACGTTTCTGCCCCGGCCTTCTTCAGGTGGTTGGAATGTCGGACTGAACCCTTTATTTCGCTCACTGGGGTAGACTGTTCTAGTTCCACGTACCATGTTTTTATGGATGTCAGTTATCAGTTATCTCCTGTTAATTTCCCTCTGAAAGTTCTCCACTGCCTTAACCGGGTATTGAACTCACACTCTTTGGGTCCTGTCACTGGATCTAACCAACGCCTTTATCCACTGTACCATGTGTCCTTGAGGACACCTGGGTATGAATTTCTGGGTATTATAAACAAAGAACGAACATTATATATGTTTTCAAATGCCGCTTAAGGAACTGAGTTCCTGATCAAACCGAATTCATAGATAATTACATAGGTCACACTACTATATGTCTATCTAAACGTCTTACGTTACGCAAATCCAACCACAGCTCAATTAGAACAAATTTAAGCACACATACACACGTGTGTGTGTGCGTGTGTGTTAATATGTTCTGATTAGAGAAGAAATGTTTGCTCAAATCGTGACTACCCGTCGAGGTAGAGGATGATAACCTACTTGTTCTGTTTGCCTCATTCAGTTGGATTTATGGACACTGAGAGAGCTAATGAGGTCAATTTTTGCTCAAGAGGTCATTCAAAATTGAGGACAGGTTGTTTCGGAGGGGGAATTAATCCTAACTGTTGTTCTTCTTCTTTTCGACGTCTTCTTTTTTCCTCCAGTTCAGTTGATCGTTTGTATTCGAAGAGTGTTGTTCCGTTTCTGAAAATGAATCTCCAGAGATTCCAGACCATTGCACTGGATTCCTACCTGTTGATACCGATATTACATTTCTTCAGGTTTTGTTTTAGAACGTCCTTGAATCTTTTCATTTGATCTCCTCTTTTCCGATTTCTTTCTTTGAGTTGAATGTAGATTTGTTGAGAATTAGAGAGGAAGCTGTGAAGGACTATGTGAAGGATTTGACAAATTGCACAGTCTATAAGTTTGGACACATACAGAGAGAAAGAATTGTTTATTAGTTTTATTCATCTTGTTTTCGCAGAACGCTATGGTCAACACTTAATGGCTTTATTCCTTTCCTTCTATTCTAATAGAACACCTCCATGATCCTCTTATCGAGATAAATAAATATTTGGTCTTTTTTTTCTTTTTTGTTCAATCCATCAAAAGAAAATAGATTTCTTTGAACCTTGGATTGACTCCTCTCATGTTTGCCCTAATCCCCCAACCCCCTCTCCCCCTCTCACCACTCTCTCTCTCTCTCTCTTTCCATCCTCATCTGCGTCTACACCCACCTATCCATCCGCGCGGATGATTTTTTTTTTTGTGGGGGTGGGGAAATGTTTTTTTAAACTTTTTATTTTAATCTTTGTTTTTTAATTTTGTTTTTCTCTGGAACTTAAAAATCTTTTATCATCTTTTATTTTCTTGTCAAATCTCTTTACTTAGTGGGACGATTCAGACTTCACCTTG